GAGGATAATGTTTATAATTGTTTTAGTTGTTGGGCTAAACTATGGGGACAGTCCTGCCCGTAAACAGGGAATTGTATTGGGTTTGAGTCAGAGCTTAGCTCAAAATGCCTGCTCCTTAAGAAACCTTCCTTGACCCCGGGATAGAAGTAATCTCCTCCCAGAGTACTTTGTACCTCTTTTGACAGCTCCATTCTACTATAGCCCTTGGAAGATCTTATGATTTTTTTCCCCCAAATCCCACTCTTACAGATGAGTCAAGTCTCAGAGCAGGACTACATCTCCCCTTCAGGGGTCTCAAGGTATCCCTGAAGAGGCAGGGGTGATTCTTTAATAAAAGTTGGTTCAAATCCCCATTGGTGAGTCCCCCCAAATTATCAATTGAGAATTGATTTAGTCAGGTGGCCTTAAATAGCTTAGGGGTAAGAATAGTTGGGATAAAACACCCCCAAAAGTCTGTGGCCTATATCAATAGTATACACAGAGTCCAGGGGAAAGTGGTCTCAAGCTTGGGGAACAGATGTGGAAAAGGTAGCTCCTGTTTGCTGAAATTCCTTTTCTTCCATTCTTGGGGTACATAGTATAGTGGGCTCCTTGTAGAGATGTGAATCTATGTCTAATCTACCTTTGGCTCCAAATATATACACTGCTATTGGCTGGTCTGGGGATGCCACTAGGATGCTGATGGAAGATGAGGAGTCTCAAATCTTCTGTGCTCTTTGTAGCTCACAAAGTCCTTCTCTGGGCATGTATGCCTACATTCATTTAGACATGTATTTAGACCCAAGACCAAAGCTTCCTCCATCTTCCCTCCCCTGTTGGTTCACTTGATTCCTTTTCGGAAGTTTTAGCTAGAACACAATGCTTACTCGAGTTTTTGCAATTCTTTCATTCCAGATAACTTGATACTTTTACACAGGAACCAGAGGACATGATGAAATCCTTCAGCCAATTGTAACAGACTTCCTGTCTTGTGTCATTTTTTTTTGTCTAAGGCTCATGATTGATTGATTGAGCATCTTATCACTTTAAATAAAATGAGATTGAGTAAATCAATCAACCCCACCCTTACATTACATTATTTCTGTGCATTTCTTCCTTGTCAGAATATATAATCCTTGAAACCAAAGTCCATGACCTAATAATAATAGCTGACAGTGAGATAGGGCTCATTTTTTCTTCATGACAACTCTGTGACATAGGTACTTCAGGTATAACTGTATCCAATTTATAGATGAAGAAATTGAGGCTCAAAGAGGTAAAGAGATTTGTCCATATTATAGAACTATCACATGTCAAATGAAAGGATTTAAACCCAGATCTTGATTCCAAGTCCAACATTCTATCCATTTTACCACAATGCCTCTTTCACATTTATTGCTATAGCAGTTGCTCAATAAATGCTTTGTGAATGAAGAGAAGCAACTTGAAGGTCAGAGCTGTTTCATTTTTGTCTTTGCATTCTCAGTACCTAACTCATATAGGTGCTTAATAAATGTTTGCTCATTGATTGAGTGAACTTTTAAGGATTATCTTATTAAATGAAACCTCAGCACAGTTAGTGTTAAGGGACTTTCAAGCAAGTGTTTCTTCATGGAATAAATTTTTCCCTGGCTAGAATACCCTCTGTGGTGTGGTTCTTGTATGTACACCCTTGGGCTCTCATAGCATAGACTGAAGAGCTTCGTCATTGAGAGGCAATGGTGTGGGACAGAGTCCTGCATATGGAGTCTAAGAACTGGGGATCAGACAAGTTGTGTGACCTTGAATATTTAATATTTAAACTCTTTGATCCTTGGAATCTTCACCTATAACACAAGAGGGGTTGGACCGGATAGATCACTTCTGCAGTGCCTTCCAATTCTATATGTATGTGAAACCATGACATTTCAGGAAAGAGGCCCCATCCTTTGCCCCTGAACATGGAAGGGCAAGGCTCCCTTGTTCTAATGTAGGGGAAATTAAGTGTGAAGTCCATGGAACTTTTGCTCAGAGAGGTAAGTTTGTCAATATTTTTACAGCCTAAGTCAATTTATCTGTAGTTTGAAGCTCTTCTCTTATACTTGTTGGCTTCGCTTTTTTAGGCAGGCAGTTTCCTTGAAGTAAATATTTTAAATGGAAAAGCATGAAGTTTAGCAAGCAGAGTTTTACCTTTAGATGGACCCTTTTTTTGTCATACAATGAATCAGTTATGCAAGCAAGACTCTAAGGTCTGTCAGAATCTACTCTGTTAGACAGGATGTGAAAGCTGGAAAGCACCTTAAAGATCATTTCATCCACTTCCCTCATTACACAGAGGAGAAAACTGAGGCTCACAGAGGTAAATTATCTTATGCAAGCCCAGTGTTTCTGATGCCAAGTCCACTGGCTTCCTCTTAATGAGACCTTATAGTAGTTTCCCAGGGCCCTGTGTGGACTGTATAACTTCTGTTTCTGAGGCTTTGCAGGCTACCTACTGTGTGAGTTTATCTCCATGTTAAAATAATGCTCATAGTGGGGAGGGAAGAAAAAAAAGAAAAAAAAAGAAATTTACATGATAATGTTGTCGTATATTTGAAAGGAATAGCAAGTTGTGCATAGTAGATTTGCAGTTTCATGTGCAATCATCTTTTTATTGTACTGTTATGGAAATGCTTTTTTTATAATTTAAAAATAAAATAAAATTGAAAAATGATGCTCACATCCCTTTGTGTCACTAGATAGTACTTGTAAAACTAAGAGTTTTAGGTGGTGAATGAGATATTTTCAAAGACAAATATTACTTATTTGGCATCTTACACAATGTGTTGCATATAGGAGGTATTTAATAAATGCTAGTTGAATTTAATTTGATTCTTATCCTTTAGAGTTCTTTCCCTGTACTATTCCCTTTTGCAGCAATGGTATTTTATTGGCACTGACTTTGATGACTGGATATCTGGGCAATGCTCTTATCCAGTTCTAGCAATACTACATAGGTAAGAAAGAAAGAAATACAGGACCCTGTATCGCATAAGTACAGTCAAGCAAATCCCATTTCTGCATTGGTCACATCCAGAAATGTATTTCTTCTGCATTTTAGTCCATTGTCTCTCTGTTATGAGGTAGGCAGTGTTCTTTCTTATCAGTCCTCCGCAATCATAATTGATAATTCAGTTGATCAGAGTCTTTCAAAATTGTTAATTTTTATAATATTTGTTATAGTATAAACTATTTTAAAAAATTCTGCTCACTTCACCCTGCATTAGTTCATACAAGCCTTTCCATGTTTTCTTCTTAGTGGATGGGGAAAAAATGAATGCTTGATAATTAGAAAAACAAAACAAAACAACAACCCAAAACACTATATATTATCCTCAGATCTACCTGTCCAAAACAAGTATAAGAGGTGGGGTTGAAACTACTTCGTCCCATTTTAACTGACACATTAATTAGGTAAGAGAATATCTCAATCAAATGAAAGGCTTCAGACTATTCGAAAAATCTTTGAAAGCCAATGGATGAAATGAAATTATGCAGGTCAATTCCAATAGGTTAGGAAACTTGGTCATGCCTCCACATGAGTTAAGAGGTGGGGCCATCTGTGACTTGGACTATATGTTTGTCTTTAGAAGATAAGTCAGGAGAGTTGCTTGACGCAGACAGATTCAGTGATTTTCTCAGGGACATACAGCTGGTAAGTGTCTGAGATAGGATTTGAGATAGGATTGGAGCCACATATTTCTGGCGCCAATACCAATACTTTATTCATTCTGCCAGACTGATTCTAATAAGATATTGCACAAGTAATAATAATAATAATATAAGATTAAAAATGAGGTTGAATATAAAGTAGACAACTGTGAAGTACAATAAGAGAGATACAAAGTATTACATTAATTGGTTCAGAAGAAGGAGAGATCAGTTCTTGGTGATGGAATCAGGGAAATAGATCCATCAAAGGGCTCAGCAGGACCACTATAGGCAGTGCTTTTTTATTAGCAGTCAGTCAATCAATAAAAATTTATTAGGGTATCTACTATGTGCCAGGCACTGTGCTAAGCACTAAGGATACCAAAAAAGATGAAAGACAATCCCTGCTTTCAAAGAGTCTGATGGAGGAGACAACATGCAAACAACTATGTACAAATAAGCTATATAGAGAATACATCAAAGGTAATCCACAGAAGGAAAGCACCAGGATTAAGAAGGATCAGGGAAGACTTCCCGTAGAAGGTGGGATATTAGCTGGGATGCCAGGGAAGCCAGGAGGTAGATGAGAAGGGAGAGCATTCTGGGGATGGGAGATAGAGAAAACACCTGGAGTTAGAAAATCAGAGTGTGTGTGTGTGTGTGTGTGTGTGTGTGTGTGTGTGTGTGTATGGGTGGGGGAGGTGTAAGGTGTAAGAAGACTAGTTGGAGTGGGGGAAGCTATAAAGGACTTTTAATGTGAGAGGATTTTATGTTTGATCCTAGAGGTGATGGGGAGACCCCAGAGTTGAGTGGCAGGTGGGGCGGATGAGAGGAATGACGTGGTCAACTTTGTGCTTTAGGAAAATCACTTTGATAGCTGAGTGAAAGATGGACGAGAATGGGTCCAAGATACGGTACTTGAAAATATTAAAGTCCTAAAACTATGTTTTTTAAACAATTTTTCTCTAATTCCAAGTTTTTCCAATTCCCCTAATGTGATGCATCATGATACGATAAAAAGAATGTGAGACTTAAATCAGAAATGAAGTACTTTGGTTGACATACTGACTCTACTAACCTACTTAGCTGTGTGATCTTGGGCAACATAGTTAACTTCATTGACTCTCGATTTCCTTATGTGTAGCATGAGGATGATGATCTGTGAACAATGCAACCTCTCTCCCTGGGTTTATGTAAGGACCCGATGAAATAATTTATGTAAAAGTATTATCCAAAATGGGAAATTCTTATTAGTGGAATAACAGAGATATTCAAATCTTGCTTCCTTGCAGCCCTGCCTGCATGCATGCTCTGAGCAGCCATCTAATAAATTCCTCTTTTGACCTCTTTAGGACCCTACTGACTTTGAATGGAGCTTCTGGACTGAATGGGGGAAGCAGGAACTGGTCTGGCTTTTTCTTGGCCATGTGGCCATGTCTCAAATTGCCATGCTCTTCATGGGAAAGGTAAGGAGGAAAACATTTTAATTACATTAAGTTAATTAAATTAACACAGAAGAAAATACAAAGAAATTCAGGAGGGTATACAGACAGGACAATTTTCTTACTGTTTTGTTCAATTTAACAAAGGTATTTAAAAACAGTTCAGTTTCTTATACCATCTTGTTGTTCTTTCTATAAGGAAACATTTGTTTTTGTTGATAGAAAAGAAAGACAAAGTCGAATGTTTAGGTGACTTTTGAAAAGCCTCTGTGCCTTGCTCCCCAGTATAACTTGGTAAACTGAGTTTTAAGTTGGGAGTTAGTAGATTTGGGAACTAGCGTTGGCTAGAGAAGAGAGTTTAGGGAAAAATTGTAAAAACTAGGGTGGAAAAACCTTTTTTGGTTGTTCCTAAAATGTTTACATCTCTCTCCCATTTTAAAAATTATAGGGATTTAGGTCATAAATTTTCTTTTGGAACTATGAATAAAACCTTTCATAGGTGCCTTATGTTTGTATCTGAAGCATCTAGTACAGTGCTGGCACCTAGTAAGTGCTTAATAAATGCTTGCTGAATTGAAATTAAATCGAATTCAGATGCTATCACTTTGTTATGTATAACTGTATCTGAATCAGATAGCTCACACTCAGTCATTGTGTACCAAATGGCCCAGGTGGAGTCAGCTGTTTTTGGGAATCTGTACCTTGTATATCAGAATGAACCTTAGGGTGGGGATTGGGAACCAGGAAACCCCTGTTAGAACCTTGATACATTTTACACTAGCTAGATTTTTGATCTTGGGCAAACCATACCTTTCTGGTCCTTATTTTTTCTTCAGCTCCAAAATGAGGGGTTTAAAATAGATAACAATAACAACAACAACAATAATTATAGCTGACATTCATCTATCACTTTAAAGTTTGTGTGGCAGTTCATATGCATTCTTATTTGATTCCCACAACAGCCCTGTGAAGGACAGAGGGCTCTAGGTGGTACAGTGGATAGACTGAGTTCAAACCCTGTCTCAGACACTTAATAGTTGTGTAATACTGGGCAAATCACTTAACTACTTTGTGCCTCAGTTTCCTCACTTGTAAAAGTAGAGAGTTGAACTTGTTGACCTCCAGGGTCCCTTTCAGCTCTAGATCTATGATCCTCTGATCTCCATTTTATTTTATTTTATTTTTGTTGCTAGGCAATGGGGATAAGTGCCTTGCTCAGGGTCACACAGTTAGTAAGTGTTATGTGTCTGAGGCTGGATTTCTGATCTCCATTTTAAAAATGAAGTTAAGGGGCTTGTTTGTAATAGATGAGCTGGTAAAGAGTTAAGGTCAGAAACTCACTGCCTCCTGAGGCAGCCTGTTCTTCTAGGCTAAATCATCCTCTCTGTAAGTACTGCTGTTTTAGTGGACAGTGCTCTAGCCTGTCAGGATCGTTTTGGATCATTTGCTAGCCATACCTTTTAGTCTTGTCTCACCTGCAGATGTGATAAGCATGCCATCTCTACCTCAAATGAGATCATGTTTGTAAAGTAATTGGCACTGAGCCTAGCACATAGTAGGAACTTAATAAATGCTTGTTCCCTATTCTCCTCCATTTTCACATCGTTGAAAGGAATCATAATAGTATAGGGACAAGCAGAGATCCCTGGGACCTTCCATTAGGAATCTTCTTTCAAGTTCTTTCAAATTAGCAGTTCTGAAATCTATCAAACAATACTACCACTCTCTCTATCTTTTCTACAAAAATAGTCAATTAACAAGCATTTGTTAAGTACTTTCTATATGCCAAGAACTATGCTAATCAAAGGAGAGATTGCCCTCAAGAAGCTTAGATTCTGGGGCAGCTAGGTGGCACAGTGGATAGAGCACTGGCCCTGAAGTCAGGAGGACTTGAGTTCAAATCTGGCTTCAGACCAAACACTTGACACTTACTAGCTGTGTGACCCTGGGCAAGTCACTTAACCCTAACTGCCTAAAAACAAAAAACAAATAAAACCACCTCAGATTCTAACGGGGGAGACAACTTATAAATAACTATATCCATATAAAGTGACAGTGGAAGGTAATCTCAGAGGGAAAGGACTAGAAGCAGGATGAGAGGGACCAGGAAAAGTCCCTTACAGATGTAAGATGAATCTTGAAGGAGGCCAAAGCAACTAGAAAGCAGAAAAAGACCAAGACTTTGGCAAATGCTTTGATAAAATCTAAGTAAACTATATTAACAACATTCCTTTCTCTCTGTCATCTGTTATCAATTGACCAACATATGTTTATGTTATGTGCCAGCCACTGTGATAAGTGCTGGGAATACAAATGCAAGGAAGAAATAAAGACACTCTCTGCCCTCAAGGAGCTTACATTCTAATGAGGGGAAGACTAAACATAAAAAGCAGTGGAAAATGGTGCTGGTGGAGGGGAAGGTAACCTATGGAGTGCATGATAGAGAATTCTAGAAGAGTACAGCCTGGTGGGAAATGAAGAGATGGCTAGAAATGAACGTTTTGGGAGATGCCCTTCATCCTCCAATCAGAGGGAGGAACCCCAGGAGCTGAGAGTTCTGATGAAGTGTGAATTCCGGGGCTGAAGGGATCTTCCAAAATGAAGAGGTTACAAAGGATTTATTACAAAGATAAATACAAATCCTGAAAATCTGCCCTATTTCCTTCTTTGAACCCCCAATTTTCTATCCCTTCTTTGTTAGTTTTCCTTGTTTCAATCCTCTGTACAATTCTTTAAGAAATCTCAATTGTTCACTGACTTCTCCCACCACATGCTGTATGATCCAGGGGTGCTGACCTCTTGTCTGTATCTTCTACTACACGCTCTACCTCCCAGCTTCTTCCATTTTCACTGGCTGTTCCTCATGCCTGGAACTCTGTCCCTCCTCATTTCCACCTCCTGGCTTCCCTGGCTTCCTTCAGGTCTCAGTTAAAACCCCACCTTCGGCTGGAAGTCTTTCCTGATCCTCTTTAAAGTGAATGCCTTTTCTTTGAGATGATTTCCCCTGTGTCCTTTCTATCTTGTTTGTACATCATTGTTTGTATATTGTCTCCCCCATGTGAGCTCTATGAGAGCAGGGGCTGTTTTTTCTATTCCCAGCACTTATCACAGTGTCTTGCACTTAGTAGGTACTTCACAAATGCTTATTGTCGTGTGTGTGTGTGTGTGTGTGTGTGTGTGTGTGTGTGTGTGCGCGCACGTGCATGCAATGGTCTCTTTAGGTAGCTTAACTGAAATTATTTCCCTAACAATTATTTATCTGTCCAGTTCCACCGATTGTTGGTGCGGCTCTGAGTTCTCTGGAATCCCTGCTGGGTGCCCTGAATTACCTGGGTGATGGCAGGAGTGGTGGGGGACAGATTATTTAGGCTGCTGTCAGATAATTTAGCACATTTTTTGATTAGGACAATCTCTGGGCCTGTCAGGGGGAACCTCTTCTTTCTTTCTTTTTTTTTTCAGATCTTGTTAATTTATTTTTTTTTAGTTTTCAACATTCACTTCCACAAGATTTTGAGTTCCAAATTTTCTCCCCATTTCGTTCCTCCCCCCATTCCAGGACAGCATGCATTCTGAATACCTCTTCCCCCTAATCTGCCCTCCCTTCTATTACCCTCCCCCTTCTCTTATCCCCTTCCTCTTCTATTTTCCTGTAGGGCAGGATAGATTTCTATATCACATTGCCTGTATATCCGATTTCCCAATTGCGTGTGAAAGCAATTTTTAGCATTTGGTTTTAAAACTTTGGGTTCCAAATTCTCTTCCTTCCTCCCTCCCCACCCACCCTCATTGAGAAGGCAAGCAACTCGATACAGGTTATATGTGTGTAGCCATGCAAAACACTTCCATAGTAGCCATGTTGTGAAAAACTAACTGTATTTCACTTCATCCTGTCCTGCCCCCCCCTTTATTCTATTCTCGCTTTTGACCCTGTCCTTCCTCAGAAGTCTTTGCTTCTGATTATCCCCTCCCCCAATCTGCCCTCCCCTCTATCATCCCCCTGCTCTCTTATCCCCTTTCCCTCTATTTTCCTTAGGGTAAGATAGATTTCCATATCCAATTGTTTATCTCTTCATACTTCTCTTGAGTCTTGTATTTGAAAGTCAAATTTTCTATTCAGCTCTGGTCTTTTCATCAGGAATGCTTGAAAGTCCTTTATTTCACTGAATATCCATTTTTTCTTCTAAAGAATTATACTCAGTTTTGCTGGGTTGGTGATTCTTGGTTGTAATCCTATCTCCTTTGATCTCCAGAATACTATATTCTAAGCCCTGCAGTCCCTTAATGTAGAAGCTGCTAAATCTTGTGTTATCCTGATTGTGTTTGCTCAATACTTGAATTGTTTCTTTCTGGCTGCTTCCAATATTTTCTCCTTGACCTGGGAACTCTGGAATTTGGCTACAATATTCCTAGGAGTTTTCCTTTGGGGATCTCTTTCAGAAGGTGATTGGTAGATTCTTTCCATTTCTATTTTTCCCTCTGGTTCTGGAATATCAGGGCAGTTTTCCTTGATAATTTCTTGAAAGGTAGTGTCTAGGCTCTTTTTTTTTTTTGATCATGGCTCTCAGATAGTCCAATGATTTTTTCATTGTCTCTCCTGGATCTATTTTCCAGGTCAGTTGTTTTTCTAATGAGATATTTCACATTGTCTTCTATTTTTTCATTCTTTTGGTTTTGTTGTACAGTGTCTCAATTTCTCATAAAGTCATTGCCTTCCATTTGCTCCATTCTAATTTTTTTTTGGATCTTCTTTAGCAAGCTGTTGACTTGTTTTTCATGATTTTCTTGCATCACTCTCATTTCTCTTCCCAGTTTTTTCTCTACTTCTCTTTCTTGCTTCTCAAAATCCTTTTTGAGCTCTTCCATGGCCTGGGCCTGATTCATATTTTTCTTGGAGGCTTTGGATGTGGGAACTTTGACTTTGTTGTCTTCTGGTTGTATGTTTTGATCTTCTTTGTCACCAAAGAAAGATTCTATGGTCTGACTTTTTTTTTTTTGCACAGTTTTCTCATGTTCCCAGCCAATTA